TCTCCCGCAGAACCCTCAGCAGGCCGCAATTGCGGTGCCAACGATGGATATGCCGCAGTTTCAGCATTACGTGGCTCCGGCTAATAAGAGGATGCGCGGGCGGACTTCTCAAGGTGGACAACAAACTCAATAGCAAGGAGAATACGGCGTTTGGGAATCAGGAGCCTTTGTAAAATGATCAGCATTGTACTCCGTAGAATGATCAGTATTGCGTGTAGTTTTTTTTTTCTTGAACTTCTTTTTAAAAAAAGACAGGCCTGGCAGGGCATGTCGTTAACGGATTGATGTGGGGGTGTGTGCCAAAATTGTTAGTAGAGATTTAGGTAGAATGGGCCTGGCCCCTGGAGAGTAATGGACCTTATATAGGGATGCCAAAATTAACTCATTAAAACAGCCACCCGAGCTTATACTCAACCTTTTTGTCACTCAGATCAAGGCACTGCAGCTCCTCACCGCCAAAATTTCTAAAGATTTTGCCAAAAATCTGCCCCACCATCCCGCTTTTGAAAATATCCAGACTTTGTGAAGCATCAAGATAAATAACCAAAATGGCGACAATTGTACCCCCGCCGTCGAAACGGCAGAAGAGAGAAGAGCTTGAGCGCTCTCAGATTCAACAAGATGTTACAGCGATTGCTTCTGGGCCTGCTGGCTCGTTCAAGGCGAGGTTCTTGGATGGAGATGGAAAGCAGATGGCAGATGTGATTGAAGTTCCTCTTGCGGATGCTTCAGAAAAGAACCTGTCGCTTCTTTTGAATACTTTACTTGCTAGGGTTTGTCGCCTAGTGTGGGTGTGTTGAGCTTTGCTGACTTGCCCAGGAAAAAGAGGAATTTCTCCCATATCGATTCCGAATTCACATCCCAGATACCGATATCATTGTGGACCAATACCCTACCGATCTCCTCCAGCTTCTCCGCAACCATGGCATCGAGAACCCCTTCGAAACTACTGTCACACTTAGCGCCGAGCCACAGGCTGTCTTCAAGGTCCAGCCCGTAACGCGCATGTCCCATAAGATCCCCGGCCATGGCGAAGCAATTCTCGCAGCTCAATTCAGCCCCAAGAACAGTAATCGACTAGCGACAGGTTCTGGAGATAAGACAGCGCGGATATGGGATACTGATACTGGAACACCCAAGTACACACTCTCCGGCCATGGTGGGTGGGTGTTGGCAGTTGCTTGGTCTCCCGATGGTGCACGTCTCGCTACTGGAAGTATGGATAAGTCGGTTCGACTTTGGGACCCTGAAACTGGAAAGGCTGTTGGAAACCCCTGGACAGGACATTCGAAGTGGGTGACCAATATCGTCTGGGAGCCTTATCATCTCTGGAGAGACGGTACACCTCGGTTAGCCAGTGCAAGCAAAGATGCAACAGTCCGGATATGGGTTGTCAACACAGGAAAGACCGAGCATGTCCTATCCGGCCACAAGAGCAGTGTAAGCTGTGTGCGCTGGGGAGGCGAGGGTCTCGTATACAGCGCCAGTCACGACAAGACGGTCCGAGTATGGAATGCTGAGAAGGGAACCCTTGTGCACACCTTGTCATCTCACGTCCACTGGGTGAATCATCTTGCGCTCTCAACAGATTTTGTCTTGAGGACTGGGTTCTACGACCATACACCTGTTCCTGATACGGAGGAGGGAAGGAGAAGTAAGGCCAAGGAGAGGTTTGAGAAGGCTGCCAAGTTTCAGGGGAGAATCGCTGAGCGGTTGGTTACTGCTAGTGATGATTTCACTATGTATCTCTGGGATCCAGCTCAGAGCACAAAGCCTGTTGCGCGTATGTTGGGACATCAGAAGCAAGTGAACCATGTCACTTTCTCACCAGATGGATCTCTCATTGCCAGTGCAGGCTGGGATAACCACACCAAGCTCTGGAGTGCAAGGTAAGCCTCCGAAACTCCCCTCCCGTTCTCACATACTAACAATCACAGGGACGGCAAATTTATCAACACTCTCCGCGGCCACGTAGCTCCCGTCTACCAATGCGCCTTCTCAGCAGACTCCCGCCTTCTCGTAACAGCATCTAAGGACACAACACTCAAGGTGTGGTCAATGGCCTCTCACAAACTCGCCGTGGATCTGCCCGGCCACCAGGACGAAGTGTACGCGGTGGATTGGGCACCAGATGGAAAGAGGGTTGGCAGCGGTGGTAAAGACAAGGCCGTTCGGCTGTGGCGGAATTAGAATCCCGAAAATGGTGTTTGTTACTGTTACAAGTCAAGATACCCCTGAAGTGATTCATAAGTTTGCTGTGCCGTGCATGTCACTGAATGGATGTCTGGGATGATACTATTGTAGGTGATGCGTAGAAAACGGGCTTGGCTTATCTTTCACAATGAGATCTGTAGGCGCATACGCGGCGCTCAGCACGGGAGACTTCCGAATCTCACGCAACACTTGACAATGTTCCAGTCTCGTTTCTTTTGTCAAGCAGGGGCCTCGTAACAGATCATGCATGCACGGGAGTTGAGGAGAGCTTCTAGACTGTGATCCAAGATGCAGTCCCACAAGGAACTGAACACCCTCGATCCAGTTGCGGCTTTTCAAGACAGTCAAGTTGATAGGTCCGCTTGAATGCAGATGGGCCTCTTTTTACCTGATGTTACTATAGTTCTGTTGGAAACACGTATGAAGACTAGATGAGTTGGTAATGAGGAGAGCGGGCTGGAGTGAAGCTCGCGATATGTTGGAACTGTCTAGAAAGTGGTGTTGGTGCTGTGGGGTAAGCAACCCATGTCGAAGCTAAATTTACTTTATCCCGAATTCCCGAAGCAAAGTTCATAGCTAAACTTGGAAGCGAAATATCTAGAATTATCTTTGAAGTTGGCTCTAACATCTCATCTCGATCACGTAGAAAGCCTCATCCTGCATGTCTTCGAATCGGGCTTGGATGCCCAGCCATCCTAAGCGGATCATATCGGACCCGGACCGGCGTTGCATCTCCAAGTGATGTTTCCTTTTTTTCTCGAAAAGTCAAGCGCCTTGCAAACTTACAGCCTGCCATCGACACCACGAGGTTTCCCCGCCGATCGTGAGTGGATGATATGACCCCGGAAAGCATCGGGCAGCGAGCAGCCCAAAGAGATGCGGGGAATTCAGAATATGGCTAACATCAAAACACAAGTACAGTAGTACTCACTCAGGTAGAGAGGCCAGTGTGCTCTTGAATGAGGTGTTGCAAGCGCTTACACGCAGAAGAAAAAAAACGCAGTTGTCCGGTCCCGTTGCGGGCCCCCGGTACTCCGGCCGGCTGTGGGCTCAGGTGAAAGCCGAATATCCCTGCTGCCGCATTGTGTGATGTTACGGGAATCCGGTGCTTGGAAAGTTGGAGTAGATGCGTGCATGTTGCATGCACTGTAGACATGATCATATCAGAGGATAGTGATTTCCATGTGACACGGACCGTCATTACCCCAATTACTTACTCAATTATTCTTGTCCATTGCCCCGAGGCACAGTCTCGGGTTGGACCAAGACGTGAAGAGGCACAGGAATTACTCCACCACGGAGAAGCTGCGGGGTGCAGCCAAGTTGAGAAGCAATATCGAGAATAGGAAAGGGTCCCCTGACGATCTTCTAGAGAGAAAGTTTACTGTTTGTTAGTATCTACAGACCTTAAACCGTGACTCGTTATCCAAGGACGGAACACCCGGGCTTGGTATGAGATGGAAGCTGTCCGATGAAAACAATGCGCATATCGCCATATCCTGCAAGTTGCACACGCATCCCATCTCAGATGCACGCCACCAACCGCATGCATCTCTCCAATCGCATGGTCCATGCGGTTTTTAATCTCAGGATTTTTAATATAATGCGGCAAATTCAGTCAGTCTGATGCGAAGACGGGAAGTAGAAACGGCCCGTGTAAGACGGCGTGGTATGGCAGACGGGCCGGTGCAGCCAGTTTTTGGACAAGGGTGCAAGATGATCTTTTGAGTGAAGTGCATGGAGTGAGGCAGATGAGGGAAAGATGAAGAGATAAGTTTGGCTTGGCGCGGTTGGTGAGATGGTGGTGGTTGTTTCAGGCGTAGTTCAGACGGTGATGGTTACCATGGATATCATGAATGCGTAAATGTCAAGAATAGCCGGCGTTGCGTAGAGCATGGTGCATGGACCCGAGTTTAGACAGCGTCATTCATGTTCGGACTACGAAACCTTTATAGAATAATCTCATACAGCAGTCAATGTTCTATACCTTTCTCTCGCTAAGCCCTGGTCACGATCATACCGTGGTTCAACTCCAAATGCCTGAGTATAAGATAGTTACCAAACAAGCTATCATTCATCAGGCATGTGAAGTGCATGATCGACGAAATACAAGAGGGCGTGTCGATTTGAGAGGCCGCCTAATGTCCCAGCCATTGGGGTAACTGTGCACCTACAGGTAACCAACCTACAGGCCCGAGAGATTGGTTAATAGCCTCCCACCAACACAGCATCACCACCACCTCACATCAACCGGAGGCATTTTCTCCATTCGTAGACCAATGACACCTGGTTATTTCCATGTACATCTCCTTCCCCATTGATCAACACATCCAGGCACAGTCAATCAGTGTTTTTACATCGCCTTATGCACGAGGTTTCTTACCCAAGTGCCGAATTATCATGTCACTTTTGACTCTCTATCATATCAGCCAAACAGAAACATTACCGGGCCTCGCTGTTGACTCTGTCTCATCATCCATACATCATCCTTGTTTTTTCTGCTTCTCGACCCGCGTTTAGCCTACCCGCTCTGTAAAGCTCCGCCTAAACAAACAATGACAGGCTATCGTGGGGCCTGAAAACTCCACACACGTTGTCTTTCTTTGTGCATCGGTCCACGCTCCGATTTATCTTGACTTGTTTCGTTACTGGCGTTATTTTTTTTTGTCTCATCACGAGAAAGAATCAAAAGCTCAGAGAGGAAAAGCTTCAGATTAGGTGCTAACTACATAGAAAGAAAAGAAAAGACCAGGTTCTTATACCGATTGATGCCCCTCTTGGTTTGGCTGTCTTACACCACACCCCTCCTCAATTGGACATGAATATTCCACCTTGTTCCAAGCTATCAACTTTTAAACCTGACCCGAACTTGGTTCTTCGTGGATCACGGACCAAACTCTCCTGTCTCAAGATCCTCAACAACTGATCCCGATTGCTTTTCTCACAAACTACGTCACGATTGATTTCTTTCTGTGCGTTGGACGTTTCCTATTTTTTGTTGAACCGCCTCTTTTGAGTCTCCTTTCTTGTTTCTGTCAACTGCAGTATTCTATCATAGCACACTTTGAATCGGCCCTTCATCACAGCCCAAAAAATTGTCCGCTTCTCTGTTCACATGATGCTCATACTATAATTCTCCACTTGAGCAGACGATTTCCTTTTATTTATCAGGTACCAACGGTTCTCACTTGAGGCTTAAAAACTGCCCTTGTCAATACCCATTTCAGCAGCCTAAAGGTTGTAGAGCAATCATTACGTCAGAGTGAGCGCTCTACTTTACTGGCTGCATTTCCTCACATTCCCTGTCTGTCTATGCACCCATCCAATTCATCCAGACAACCGCACTCCAGTCCAGACCATTTCGAAACTGACAGGGCTACTTTATAGGTTGATCCTTTACTGGAAAATACCTCTCAAACAAATTCCTTTATTAATTGTCGATCAACCCCCGGCAACAGAAAAAAAAAAGGAGCTGTTTAAGCAACGATCTCGGAGCTATCCAAGCTTGATCAACCGTGCAACAGTATAACCACCTGACGAATCTCACGACACGGAGCAACAGCGGCCATATCGGAGATTTTCTCGTCCAAATTACATTTGGTCTTTTTGGTTTCATTTATCAACGTTGCAGATTCCCTTCTTTCTGCCGTGCGCATTCAACCATTTGCGGTGCCATTCGCCACTTTCGGCTCGATCTTACAGCTGAGCGCATCTGCGACAAAGAGGCGTTTTGCCTGTGACAAGCTACATCCCTCAACAAAACTCGATTCCTCTGCCACTCGTATTTCCAGTTCTACATCCACATGAAGTCGTCATACGAGAGAATTCAATAGTATCTCGACCAACTTGATTCTCGTTAACCTTTCACATCAACCAAGACTCGAACTACAAGGACAAGAACTCTACACCAACAAATTAGCTTCTTGAGCAATTCTCACACAAAACTTCAGCCAAAATGACGGTCTTTGTGTGTTCTCTGTATGTTGCCTCCCTCGATGATTTTTTGTTGCTTCCCCGCTCTAGCCCCTCCATCGTTAAAAGCCCACCAAACCTTGGCGAAAAATGACGAGCACTAACATGACGATAGCTTCCTCCCCAAGACAATTCACTTCACCCTCCCCGGTACACCTCCTCTCGGCGCCGATCCAACTCGAGCTTCATTGTCCGGATCCTCAAACCCCAAGCCTACAAAAGCTGCTACTCTTCCTCCCAAGCCCAAACCTGCTGCTCCAACCGGTGGTCGACCTGCGCCTCTAGCTCGCCAACCGAGTCTTTTCCAGAAAGAGGATATAACGCCTCCTCATACACCGACCGAAGAGACTGATTCCAATTTGTTCGCGAACGAAGATGGATTCAGAATACAATTTCCTCATGGCGCTAGCTCCAGCATTGAGCATGCAAAGACCTGGGGCAGCCGCGCCAACCAGCCGAAGTCTCGCGCCAGCTCTCCTCCTCCCTCCGCTTCCCTCTCCGAGAACAATCGAACAATGCAAAAGGCCCGTGAACTTGGTCGTCAGGGAGTTCTTCAACCGAGATCTCTAGTTAGAAGCGACAGCCACGATCGAGTCTTTGCCTCAGCCGGCTGGATGGTTGTTAATGCCGACCAGGGCAATGGTGGTCTTCGCAATGCTGCTGATGCCGCTGCTCGCGATGGCAAGATTGACGATATTACCTGGGTTGGCACTCTTGGTATGCCCACTGATGCCCTTGAAGGCACACAGCAGAAAGAGGACATTGAGGCTGTTCTAGCGAACGAACATAACATGTTGACTGTCTTTTGTTCCGATAAGGATTTTGATGGTCACTATGCTCATTTCTGCAAGCACATCCTGTGGCCTGTCTTCCATTACCAGATCCCCGACAACCCCAAGAGCAAAGCCTACGAGGACCACTCGTGGAAGTACTACGTCAACGTTAACCAGGCCTTTGCCGACCAGATTGTCAAGAACTGGAAGCGAGGTGATGTCATCTGGATCCACGATTACCATCTGCTTCTTGTTCCTGGAATGGTCCGCAAGAAGCTCCCTGAGGCCAAGATTGGCTTCTTCTTACACGTCGCTTTCCCTTCTTCTGAGGTCTTCAGATGCTTGGCTGTCAGGAAAGAGCTTCTAGAGGGTATGCTCGGTGCCAACCTTGTTGGCTTCCAAATTCACGAGTACGGACGTCATTTCCTCCAGACTTGCAGTCGTATCTTGAGTGCTGAGGCTACACCGGATGGTCTTCAGCTTGAAGATCGATTTGTCGATGTCATTCACCTTGCCATTGGTATCGATCCTGTCAGTCTTCGTGAGCATCTTGACGCCCCAGATGTTGCAAAGTGGCTACAGGTTCTGCAGGAGCGATACAAGGGCAAGAAGCTCATTGTTGCTCGTGACAAGCTTGATCACGTCCGTGGTGTTCGTCAGAAGCTTCTTTCTTACGAACTCTTCCTTAACAAGAATCCTCAGTGGCGCGAGAACGCTGTTCTCATCCAAGTCGCCCTTTCATCCAACGAAAAGAGTGATCTCGAGGCCACCGTTAGCGACATTGTGACCAGAGTCAACTCATCGTGGGCCAACCTGGCTTATCAGCCAGTGGTATACCTCAAGCAAGATATTGACTATGCTCAGTACCTTGCTCTGTTGACCATTGCCGATGCGCTCATGATTACCAGTCAACGTGAGGGTATGAACTTGACATCCCACGAGTATCTTTTCTGCCAAGATGGAAAGCTTTTGCCGGAGAAGAAGCACGGTTCTCTGATTCTCTCCGAATTCACCGGAACTTCTTCCCTCTTCGCCAAGAATGAACTTGCTGTGAACCCTTGGGATTACCGACAGTGCGCCGATGCTATCAAGCAGGCTTTGGAAATGGGCGAGGAAGAGAAGGATAGACGATGGGAGAATCTATACAAACGTGTCAACGGCCACACCGGCTCTCATTGGTTCACCGAGTTTCTTGGTCGCCTGGATATTGTGTATGAGGAGCAGCACAAGCGCGATCAGACATCGGTTCCTCGATTGTCGATTCCCGCCCTATCTAACAAATACCTGAAGGCGGAGCGTCGACTTTTTATCATTGACTATGAGGGTACGTTGGTAGCTTGGGGCCCTGTCAACCAGATCATTCCCATCAGCCCCCAGCGAACACTTGATGTATTGAACGACCTGCTCCTTGACGAGCGCAACACTGTCTACGTCATGTCTGGCCGACGACCTGAGGAGCTTGATAGAGTCTTTCGCCGAGTTCCTAACCTGGGCCTGATTGCTGAGAATGGATGCTTTCTCAAGGTCCATGGCAGCGATTCGTGGACTGAGATGGCTGATCTCGAACACGTCAAGGATTGGAAGGAGTCAGTGCGGCCTATCATGACATACTACCTCGAGCGAACCCCTGGTGCTGAGATCGAGGAGCGTCGCTGCAGTCTGATTTTCCACTACAAGAGCGCGGAGGACTATGAGTCCGCTTCACGACAGGCTTCAGATTGCGCCAGTCACGTCAATGATGCCTGCGAGTCTCAGCGCGTCCATGCTATTGCCCTGGACGGGTGCATCGCTGTTGAGCCTATAGATTGGACTAAGCGAACCGCTGCCAGGCAGGTGTTTGAGACTCTGAAGACGGAGATGAGCTCTACACAAGAGCACAAGACACCCGTTGACTTTTTGATGGTCATCGGCGATGGACGAGAGGATGAGAAGGTCTTTAAGTGGGCAAACAGACTTCAAGACGACGGATCAGTACAGAACGTCGTCACCGTCAGTCTTGGTAACCGCAACACCGAAGCAACAGCCACCCTTACGCAGGGTGTCAGTGGTACGTTTCCCTTTCCGACAGATCCATGTTGAGCAGTATACTAACTTTTTTCAGGCGTCCTCTCTTGTCTCCAGCGTCTCGCTTCTCTTGACTCCTGACTACAGGCTTATTGTGGCATTATTGCGTGTTATTGCATTTGTCTTTGTGCCGTTGGCGTTGGGTCAGCGGGCGCAGGGGAATTAAAACGATCGTCACGTCTAGTAACTCGACGACACCAAAAGAGTAGTTCTATATGAGTTTCGTTTTACAGTTTTTTTGTTAGAGTCGTTAGAGTCGTTATGATGGGTATGGGCTACAATGAGGAATGGTTTCATTATTAGGGACTCTCGCGAGTAAATGGTTTCTTACACACTCTACTCTCATTCGTATTTCTTTGCATGTTTCATCTGGACTGATTAAAGCGAGTCTGCTATCATACAGAAGATATAGAAAATGAATAGAAGGATATAACTTCATCCATCCCAATTGCTATACGCCTCCCGCCGTTTCCGACATCCCTTGACTCTCAACAAAACGTTAATTCCCGTTCCAACCGTGTTCCCGCCCATGCATGACATCACACTGGCGAAATCCAGCTGCTCAGCAGCGAATTATGCGCCCTGAAAACAGCCAAAAATAAACTGCCGCAGAGCACCCCGCGCCTTGCGACATCGGCCCAAATAATTCTTATTGGGAGTCAGCGGGATTGCCAAAGCATCTTCTCGTTCTTACTACGACTTACTGAGAGCTTATAAATGTAAGTGGCTTGAGGTTATAAAAGAGGCTGAATTGGACGTTGACTTTTTTTTTGGCTGTAGTGCTTCTTTGTATCGCAATCATGACTGCTTTTCCTCCTCCTCCTGTCAATACCATTGACTGGTCCAACGTGGGCTTCAAGGTCCGCGAAGGTTAGCTCCCTACTCAATTGACTACCCTTGAAGCTATTGTATTGACAATTGCAGTCAATGGTCATATTGAATCAACATACAGTCGAAGCACAGGAAAATGGACCCCTCTTCACTTCGTCGCCGACCCCTTCATGCGCATTCACGGCATGGCGCCAGCTCTCAACTACGGCCAACAAGCCTACGAAGGTCTCAAGGCCTTCCGAACTCCCAACGACGAGGCAATCACCATCTTCCGACCCAACCGCAACGCAAAACGTCTTCAACACTCTGCGGAAGTCGTGTCAATGCCCCATGTCCCCGACGAGCTGTTCCTCGATGCCGTTCGTGCTGCTGTCGCTTTAAACGCTGAATATGTTCCTCCTCACGACACTGGCGCTGCGCTGTATATTCGACCACAGTTGTATGGATCGAGCGCTCAGCTGGGTCTTTCACCGCCAGATGAGTATATCTTCGCGGTGTTTGTCATTCCTACGGGTGTTTACCACGGCGCTCATCCTGTTAAAGCACTTATTCTTGAGGACTTTGATCGTGCGGCGCCGAATGGCACGGGTAATGCAAAGGTTGGTGGCAACTACGCTCCTGTGCTTCGATGGAGCGATAAGGCGCGTGACGAGGGCTACGGTATCACGCTGCACCTGGACAGTGTGCGCCACGAAGAGATTGACGAGTTTAGCACGAGCGGCTTCATCGGTGTCAAGGACAACGGGGGACAAGTCACCCTCGCGGTACCGGACTCCAAGTGCGTTATCGAGAGTGTCACGAGCGATAGCATCCAGGAGCTAGCGCGCAGCTACGGATGGACCGTGGCGAAGAGGGCGATCAAGTATGAGGAGCTCAAGGAGTTTACAGAGGTTTTCGCGGCGGGTACTGCGGCGGCGCTGGTGCCGATTAGGAGTATTACGCGACGTGTTGGTGGAGGGGAGGATGTTGTTACGTATATCAAGGACGGGAGTGAAGAGCCTGGGCCGCTGTTTGAGAAGTTGCTCACGCATCTGAAGGATATTCAGCTTGGACGGGCTGAGGATTCTTTTGGGTGGAGATATCCTGTTGGTGAGAAGGATAAGGAGATTGCTGGTGCGCCCGGGGGACGAAACGGTGATGCTACAACCGTTGATCAGATGGATTAACTTATCTATGAAGAATATGAATGAGAGGAAATGGTTACCGTGTTAGTCGCACTCGCGATACTGACCCGTCTCGTCTATCTCGAGTTCCCAAGGACCGTGTTTGCACTTTGTCCCGCGACCCCCGTCGCTGGTTACGGCTCGCCGCATGGTACAACGGAGGTTGGACAAACAGACCACCCTTTGGGGTTTGCGGAGCCGGAGGAGGTGTAACGGGCCCGGCAATTCTCATATATACAACCATCCAACCTTGAAATACAAGCCGTGAATCTCCCCCTTAATCCCTCTCTACCAAAACCACTCCACTCCGACAAATCTCCTCACTGTTGATACAGAACAGAATGTGCACATACTCCTTCCAACGCATGGTATGCTGCTGCGCCAAAGGCCCCGAGTGCCCCCAAATGACCCGCGGCCGCGCCATCATCGGCGGCGAGGCCTTCCACTACATCGACATGTTCTACGCGGTGGACGACCTGGGTTCGGCGTGCGACTACCAGCGACGGCTGTTTGGGCGGAACGCGGGCCCCACGATGCACTGTCCGAGATATGCGTTTGACGACAAGAGGATCATCAAGGGGAGCTTCAGGAAGAGTGAGCTGGCTTGTGTCAAGTGTGCCGAGACGTGTGCGCCGCCGAGCTGTAGTTGGCAGGCTCCTAGGGCGGAGGGGAAGGAGGAGGGGAAGTAGAAGACGGCCCCACACGGAGGAGGTTCGGAGCGGAAGACGGAGGAGGATACGGAGGGCACGGAGGATGGATTTGGGATGAGATTTGTTGAGGGAGGATGATATTGACGTTATTGAAAACTATCTAATGTCCATTTATACCGTTTGACTTTCCGTTTGTCACCAAACTGCCATGGGCCCCAGAACCAGGCGCACCTTGGCGTGCAGCAGGACTCTTATTCTTGTCCTCAATTCCATTCGCAAGCTTGTTCTTCCCATCAGAAGTCATACCATTGTGCGTGCCATTAAATGCCATGTTAGAAATTCCATCGTATCCTTTGATACCGGTTGACTTCTCCAATCTCTCCGCAATCTCAGGATCAACCTCACGGAAGATGGCAATCTGTCGCTTCAGCGGCTCCTCCTGCTTACACAGCTTCATCTTGCCGGTCACATTGTTGATGAACCTCTCTCGCGCAGGCTCATCAAATACGTTTCGCCAAAGTGCGCGAGGGGCGTTGAAGTCCTCTGGTCGGATTTCGGTGAGGAATGTGATAGCTTCCCCAGTGAAATGTCCATGGGTCTTATCTAGATCCACAGCGCGGGAGCGGAATTTGATAGGATCAATGGAGGAAAGATAATTCGGTCGTGCGCCCTGGTTATAGAATGCCATTTGGCCGTCACGCTGGAAGTTACCGAATTGATAACCTGTGCGTGTTGCGTTGACAGGCAATTGCTGGTAATTTACGCCGAGACGATGGCGATGGGTATCCGGATAAGAGAACAACCGGGATTGAAGAACAGGATCGGCCGATGGCTCGACACCGGGAGGAAGATGAGAAGGATTGAAAGCAATCTGCTCAACTTCCGCAAAGTAGTTGATTGCGTTCTCGTTGAGTGTGAACTCTCCGACCTTGCGGCGAGGGAATTGCTTCTGAGGCCAGACATGCGTGAGGTCAAAGACGTTGATCTTTTGCTTCTCCCACAACTCCTCAGCTTCCTTGGCAGTCATGGTCTGAAGCTCAAGAGTCCATTTAGGATAGTCTCCATTCTGGATAGCTTCATACAAATCCTTTTGCGAGTGATCAGGGGAGTAGTCAGCTGACTCTTCCTGGGTGACAAAGTCGACACCCTGCATGGACTTGAGGTGGATTTGACAGTAAACCCATTCACCAGCCTTGTTAATGAGCTTGAAAGTATGGCCGCTATAACCATGCATTTGTCTGTAATTCTTCGGAATCCCCCTGTCACCCATTAGGATCATGACTTGGTGGATTGACTCGGGGTTCTGGGAGAGGTAGTCCCAGAACATGAATGAATCGTCGGCATGAGTGAGATGAGTACCTTATCTGTTAGCCATGCGATCAATTCTAGAGAAGATCAAAACTTACTTGGGTCTCGCTTCTGGGTGTGAATAAAGTGAGGGAACTTGGCGGGATCTCTCAAAAAGAAAACAGGCGTGTTGTTGAAGACCATATCCCAGTTCTGCACAAATCAGCATCTCACCTCAACATCACAACGAGTTCACTTACACCCTCATCAGTCCTCATCTTGACCGAGAATCCCCTAGGATCTCTCGCCATATCATGCGATCCCGACTCACCCCCAACCGTCGAAAACCTCATACTAACAGAACATCTCTTCCCCTTCTCCGACAGGATATCCGCCAGGCACAAATCATCCAGCGGGTCCGTACACTCAAAATAACCATGCGCACCACTTCCCTTTGCGTGAACAACACGCTCGGGAATACGCTCGCGGTCAAAGTGTGAAAGGAGATCGATCAGGTGGAAGTCTTGTAGGAGAAGGGGCCCGTTTTCACCGGCTCGTTGGGTTTCGTAGGGATGGGCGATGGGGACGCCGTTGGAGGTGGTGTAGAGGGTTTCTTTGGATGAGGCTTGACGGTCTGTTTCGTAGGATTGGAATTGGCTTGCTACGTGGGCTGCGAAGGAGGTGTCTGTTGCTGAAGGCGCCATTTTGACTGATTATCGTGAACTTCTATATCTTCAAGGTGACTAAGTCATAGGGCTTCACTGTGGTGGTTCACGATGGAGGTCACTCTTATATACAAGCCACATTTCCCCGGATAGTTCATCCTGTCATACATCCAGCCTCCCATCGGGATCCGGTCTTCGTAATTGGTAAATTCTGTCTATGACGCGGTGAACAAGGCTTGAGCATCAAGGGATCGAAAAGTGTCGATTACCATTCAAATCACGATGATTGGCTTATCTAGATGTTCATGATGCCCTGCTTTGAGACATGACATCACGACAGCCACGTCAACCATCGACGATTTATACTGACATCTCGGGATGTGGACAGTGATAAGTGAGGGTTTATAGGGAGATAGGGAATATCATGAGAAAATTGGGTCGAAGGATTTGTTGAAGATGTTTTTATGGATATTTTATCTGTCAAACATTTGCCAAGCTAGATCTGAGATCTTAGGCTCGTGGGTGGGTTACATTCTAAGATCGTGATGTCGTCAACGTACCCTGTACCCCTTGATGAGACTTCATTTTATCTCAATTGACGATGTGAATTGTAAATATGCGAAAGAATTGCATTTCTATTATTAATTTTCTCTCACCCATATTCTTAAATTCCGTAAACCACCACCTGTTTGTTAGTTGACTTACCTTTGACTTACCTGAATTCCCAAATCAACAGCCAGCTGTAAAAGACAAACCCGGCTCACGCTGCAGGTTAGCAATCAAATAGACTTAAGTAGAAGCTGTTCATCAAGATGAGAAACATACTCACCCTTCTCAAAACGCTTCAACTGCTCCTCCCACTGCGGAACACGATGTCCAAGCCCAAGAACATCCATCATCAAACCCTTCCAAACATCCTTATCATCCCTTCCATTGATGTTGATAATCTTCCCAACGCAGCTCTTAAACTTCTCCGCATCGGCCTGTGCAATGACAACAATCCTCGCCAGAATCTCGGTCCAGTTCCTCAAAAGCTCGTGATCGAACGTCATCTGCGAGTATCTAAACTCCACAGTCGTAGGAGACCCTTCAAGATTCTCTCCACGGTCTGAAACACTTACATTGTGATCTCGCAAAGACATTGCGAAGCCGCACCGATGGACACGTGCTTTTTTGAGGCGCAGACTGAGATCAGCGAGGATAGTGCTGCCCCATACGCCGTAGAGCATCTTGTAAATGTGCTGGGGATACCAGTTGTTCCACTTGCCTGGTTTCATAGTATCCATACAAGGAACATGCTGATTGAGTGTGGTAGGGTCTTCGAGGGACTTGTGAAGGTCCATGTCCATTGCTAAAGATGAGTTTTCGCAGACTGGCATTGAGAAACCACTTTTCCAGCGTGGAGGCGCGACGAGACGGAGAAGAAGAGTGTTCTCGAGAAGGATAACGAGGGTGGCGATCTTTTGGGCGAGAAGAATGGTCATGCCTGTTTCAACACCAACGTGGACATGCATCCCGCATGAATCATCAGCAGAAATTTGAAGATCCAGTTGTCTAAGGTTCGTTAGAGCAGTGTTCACAGTAGCAAGTCCAGAGTCCAACTCACCGGAGTGAAAAACAGGAGTCGTTATCTCCACATCATCCCACATTCGCTCTTTACTCAACGGATGATCGAGTTCAAGAAACTCAGTCTTGAATATAAAACAACGCTCCGAGACGATTTCTCCACAAGACAGTATCTCTGGGAATTGCAGTACGCAGTCACCGCTGAATTGGTTGTCCTTGGGGACCGTAGCGCAAATAGTGCATCTGTCATCTGGAGGATGACAGCATTGCGCTGCGATGGGGAGGGAGGTTCGCTTTGCGAGGAGGTCTGCCATGTTGAAACGGGATGCTGCTGAGGGGGAGATGAAGCGCCACATGCGGTAGGAGTCGGGTAAGGGGGTCATGAGTTCCAGCTCGACTCCGAAGGTGATGTTTTGGTAGGAAGGCATGTTTGCTATCAGATATTGGGGGGAAATATCTGAATGGCGCTGTGGTGGTGAGGATGGTGATGAATGAGCTTGAGAGATGCATTTGGGGCTTCAAATACCTATTTATGAGAGAAGCTGCTTCTTTGATGTTCATGTATTGCTTGATTTTGATGTTGTGTAGGATAATGCTCCCATGAACGGTTACTGAGTTCACTTACATGTTGTGCTGTTGTGTGAAGCTCACTGTTCAGACTAAACAATGAGAGCCTCAAGCCAGACAAAGAATTGTCCCCACGAATATGTTCCGTCATGTAGGATACCGTTCTACTCAAGGCGAACAAGGTAATCATAGCCTCAATTGCACTGAACAAGCGCGAAACAATGGCTTCAATCTGAGCATCTACTGAGCCAGAAACCATCGGATGCTCTTCACCATCTGAGTTCCTCATAAACTCCCCCAGCTGCCTTCTCTAACACTTATGTACCTGACCCCTGAGCATAGCAACAATAATAAAGTTGGCCGCCTTCTAAAATAGCACCACGTATCCATGCTCCAACCTCTACGAAATTCCCCGACTAGCCAAAGCTACAACGTCGCAGTCCAAGAGTCATGGCACCGCCAAACTTCAGATTCCCATGTTCGCAATTCTCCACGGAAATAAGTACCGCGAGGGTTAGTGCAAAACTTGACTGAAAAGAGTTTGGCTGACACAAACTTCCAACGCCGAATCCCGGCAGCGGGTAAGTGGCTTGGAATGAAGGCTGCCGCCATTACTCATTGCCTTGAAGATGAAGACAGTCATAGAATGTTATGCTGAAGATTGAAGTATGTATTTGTTATAAGAAATATGTAGTGTTGTGGTTTTTAGATACCGGGTATATATAACAATGTGTATATGGAGAAAATATTGTGTTGAAGTTGTCGTAATGTCCTTGTTCTGATTAAAAGCCTCGCGTCGCTAGATGCAATTCTGACGAAGATTTCGACAATCCCTCACTTTCATAGTGATGCCCCTTTGACGTCCCAATCGTAGATTCAGCGGATGACTTTCCGCCCATACTCATACCATCATCTTCTCGCTCTTCCCGTTGAACGATGACCTCTGTAGTCATGACAACCTCATCATCCCTAGGTGTTTGTCGAGGAGCCTGTCGTTCATCACCACCCATGACATAAGCTCTATACGATATATCACCGGGGGGCTTGTCAACAGTATTGCTGATGAAGGTATCAAGAGCGATATTCGTCTTGTTTCCTGTCGTTGTACCAGCGGTGTGACTCCGAGGCCCAGAGCTAGCATCCTTGTTGCCCGTAGTCATCTCAACGAGACGGTTGAGAATAGTGAACTCTAGCTTGAGTTTTGTGCTGTACACAAAGGCTTTGTATGATGTTTGGTACTGGTATTGATCGGCGTACTCAAGGCCTAGGATGGTGATGTCGAGAAGAATGATGAGGATGTTGACGTAGACGAGATGGTTCATTAGACGTCGGCTTCCGCGCTTGTTTCCCATTGTGCGTTCCAGACGCATCATCTTGACTGTTTCGTAGATGTAGAAGCATGAAATGATAATCTCTTGTATGAAGAAGACGGTGACTTGGATCTTCTCCATAATGGAGTATGGCTGTTTCCACATATCTGTATTTGGTGAAAAAGAGCCATAGATCATAGGAATAACAGCTCCATGCATAAGAACGCCATTAATGATGATCATGTACAACACCGCCTTCAACCTGAATCTATTCCTCAGAACAAGATGTAGTCTTGACCAAAGCACGAGCGACTGGCCCGACACCATGGCTACCCATCCTACTGAGATGAACGTCGAGGCGAGATACCCCAGAGCTGAAGAGGCGTAGTATTTAATGAAGAAACCACAGCAGTACACGGCGATTCCCCATGTTGAAACGAGGAATGACCAGAAGTAGAGACCGGAGTGACGCTTGAAGGTCCCAAAGATGATGAAGTTGAGCTCAATGACGTTGTAGAGCGATATGGCGAGGAAGACGAGAACGACGGTTATTGTGGTCTGGGATATGCCTTCGAGGCCTGATCCAAAGCCGTTGTCGGCCATGGCTGTGAGCTATTCTCCGTAAAGGAATGGTAGACCATTTACTTCTGAGAGGAGAACATGGGGAGATATAGAATGAGAAAGGAGACAAATAAGACTTTTCAACATGCATCATCCAAGTTTCCCATGTCTTAAAACCCTACAGCTTATTAGTCTTACAAGCTTCTTTGACCGCTACGTAATAAATGGGAACAAAACGGTCTGAGCACGGAGCCTGTGCCGTATAGACTACTGTAAGAACCTAGGCCTCATCGCAAACTCTTACGAATCGGAATCGAAAAGACGAGTCAGGTCCCGTGCTGATCTCGTGCGAATTCGTTACTCGACAGGGCTGATCCCATGGCATTGGGAGAGAGGTAAAGTTTGCGCTAACGTCCGTCACCCAAAGACTGGCCACCCCCACAGACCGGCCACCCCGACCAAAACACCAAGAACCGGATATCATGATCAATTAACTAATTA